GTAAGACCTTGGCCCCGTCCAAGGAAGCATATATGGTTGACCTATAAGAAAGAAATGCAGGCTATCTGCATTATAGGCATGGAGACCGTACTTACTGGGGCAGAAGGTCCACATCTACACAGACCAACAGATCTTGAGGAACCTCTTAGAGCAGAAGGTTTCTACACCATATCAGCATAAGTGGGTCTCTAAGCTGTTGGGATATGATTACGGGATTCACTACCGACCGGGTCCCACTAACGTGGTTCTAAATGGAATTTCCAGGAAACCAGGAGGTGAGATACTCGCGGCGGTAACTGGTCCAGTGCCCCAGTTTTGGGACGCCCTGCATGAGTTGACAAGTACGGATCCGTACCTGTAGGAGTGCCGGGCCATCACAGATAGCGAGAACCCTGGCTACTATACTTTTCGGTAGGGCCTGGTGTTTTTCAATGGGCGCCTGGTCCTTCCACGGGGATCATCCCTGGTGACGACCATACTGCAGGAGTTCCATGATTCACCATTCGGCGGCCATTCCGGGGTGGAGCGCACTCTTTGCAGGGTTCGAGCTCAGTTCTACTGGCCGCAGATGGGACAGGATGTGAGGAGTTATTTGGACTCCTGTCACACGTGTCAGAGGGTCAAGGCTTTGTAGCTTCGACTTCCTGGTCTGCTACAGCCGGTGCCGGACCCAGAACAGGTATGGGAGGACATCAACGTGGACTTCATTGTCGTTCTTCCACCTTCAGGAGGAAAGACCGTCTTGTTCGTGGTAGTTGACAGACTCACCAAATATGCTCACTTCATGGCTTTATCACATCCGTACACGGCGAAGGCAGTAGCAGAGCAGTTTGTGATGGGGGTGGTGAGGCACCCCGGGTTTCCGAGGTCGATAGTAAGGTACCGGGACTCCGTTTTTCTGAGTTGCTTCTGGCAGGAGGTATTTACCATGGCCAAGACCGCGTTGCGGATGAGTTTGGCCTATCATCCTCATACGGACAGACAGACCGAGGTGATTAATAGACACTTGGAGCAGTACCTCTGTTGCTTCGCGCACCAGCAGACGAAGAACGGGTTCGCCATGATTCCGTGGGCTGAGTTATGGTATAATACCACCTATCACCGAGCCATCAAGATGTCTCCTTTCGAGGCTTTGTATGGGCGGCCTCCTCCTTTCCCGGTGGTTGGGAGTGCGCGATGAAGCCTTGAAGCAGCTCAAGGCTAATCTAGCAGCGGCTAATAACAAGATGAAGTAGTTGGCGGACTCGGGAAGACGAGAGGAAGAGTTCAAGGTGGGAGACTGGGTGTTGCTTCGCCTACACCCCTACACCCCTGGTGGCATACAGGTTACAGCTTCCTGTAGGTACTCGTATTCACCCGACATTTCATGTGTCCTTACTGAAGAAGTACCGGGGAATGGCGGATCGAGTAGAGACCACGACGCCTCCTGTCACTGCCGATGGGGACCTGGAGCTGAAGCCTCTGAGGGTACTTGAGATGAGGTGGACGAAGAAGGCGGGTCGCATTATGGAGGAGAGCTTAGTCGAGCTTAGACGAAGAAGCCTCTTCAGTTTCTGCCTCATTCTCAGCTCTTCAGTTTCAGTCTTATTCTCGGTCCCATTATTTCTTTCTTTTTGGGTTGGCGATCGGCTTCCAAGAGAAGGGAAAGGAAAAAAACGAAAGAAAAGGGAAGATGGAGGCGCCGCTTAAGGTTTCAGATGAGAGGGGACTAGGTTTTTTTTCATAGATAGGCTTGCTTATATACCTCTAGCCTCCAGGTAAATGACTGATCTGCCCCTCTCGTCCTTTACTAAACGAAAAAAGGTCTCAGCGCGGGTTTGAACTCGAGACGTCAATCTCTCATCTCAACACCGGTGAAGGTAAACAAACAACGAAGATACCACGTTTTTCTTGAATCTTTAGGCCCCGCGTCTAGTTTTAATCCGCTATCGAGCTTAATACGTAATCCATTTAGGTATTTGAAATCTCGATTTAGTTAGATCGTAATTTTACTCATACATCTAAATCTTCTAAATATATTTTTCTCTACGTCAATACCCATTTGTATATATTTTTCTAAAGATTCAATAAAATGAAATCATGGTTAATAGATCATGATGATTTTATAGTGTAATCTTTTCATAATCATTAATCAATTGTTACCAACTAACCAAAAACTCTTATTTTAATTTTGAGAATTGCGTCAATAGACGTATGATCAAATATTAATAACAAACATATAATTAATTGAATCATAAAATTAAATACAACAATAAAGCCGCAAATAATAATACACCCAAGCCTTAAAAAACTTATCAATTTAAGTAGTACCAATCATTGGGGGTTGTGGGGTGTGAATACACTTCACCACACGTAACCGTACTCCCTAACCCAAACTCTTAAATTCCGCAGACCAAATATTGGTTTCGATCCTAAGGTCAAGACCGGATCAAATGGTGTTCGATCCACCACAAATAAGGTCGATGGAGACTCCGAGCGTGACGCGACGGGTCCCCCTATTCCGAGGGGGGGATTGCTACAGTTACAAAAAAAAATTTTAAAGAAAACGAAAAAAATAAAGATAAAGAGGGTGCCAGCCGCGCGACCCGATCCATCTTTTTCCGCTGGGAACCCACTTTTTCCTCCTTCTTTTGTCTTTTTTCAGAAGGGTAAACCCTCCCCCAATACCCTTCCTTTCCTTTTTAGCCTTTTTATACTCCCCTATTGTAGGCTTTCCCCCCTTTTTTCTCCTTTCTCCTTTTTTCCAATGCTTGCTGAGCCTGGTCTAAGAGGCCGGCAAAGAGGGGACAATGGTGGAGAGAGAAGATTCTTCAGGGCTGAGGAGAGAGGTATATATAAATCTAGGGATGGAAATTGGGGTGGGTGTGGTTACCCGCTCCATATTTTGCAGGTAACCACACCCACAAATGTAGAATTATGCTATCCACAACCCGCCCGCAGTGGGTAGTGGTTAACCACAACCCGTTGCGGGTTGGTGCGGGTTTGTTGTGGATACCCACAAAATATTACATTAAATATAATAATATGGTAATTAAATAGTGATATTGTGTTTCTTCTCACACAAAAACAAAAACATACAATAGAAAGTTAATAAAGTGTTAAATAAATTATAAATCTCGAATACAATAGGTTTGTTAGTGTAAAGTTAGAAGAGATGGATTTGGAAAGAGATTTGAAGATAACGCAGAGGCAGAGTGACCTGTTACTAGACAAACATCGTTGCATGTCACGGCTCCTCCGATGGCAATAACAGCAAAACACAAAAGTGGCTCGATAAGTGGAGGCGCCCGCTTTTAATGATTTGCTTATTCTCCATTCTCGATTATAGTCTTGTATTTTTGGTAGTTGGTTGCATGTTGTGTTGTTCGTGAATTCGTGGAGAAATGGTGATTATTTTGGGTATCAGACTAACCTTTATCGATTATTCCCCTCTTTTAACAAATCGACTAATTTATATGACTATATCTATGAACTTGGTTTTGTTATACAATAAACAAATACCACCTATAATGCTTATTTGATAAAAATATCTCACATGAACATTGCGCATTGACTTGGTTTTGTTTTATAGAATAAGTGTGTTTTTTATTTTGGTAGCTACTTTAATTCTTAGTCTTCCAAGTTTCACAAACTAATATAACTAATGTGGTTAATGTGGGTTACAAAGTATTTGAAGAAATAAATATAACTAATGTGTTTAATGTGGGTTTTGTGGGTAAACCGCTAACCACAAAAATTAATATTTTGCTACCCACACCCAATCCACTATCCACAAATTGTGGGTATGGGTATCCAAGTGTGCGGTTTGTGGGTTACCCGCAACCCGCAAACCAAACTTGCACCCCTATGTAAATCCATATTTTAAGGGTTAGTAATACATATTTTAAGGGTTAATTGATATGAATAGTTTAATAATTGGTTTAATACATTTGTATATCCAAAAGTTTCACGGTTGTGCCAATAATATCCAAATTTTCCGAAATACCACTTATATCCATGTTTTAAAGTTGTTCTTTGCCAAATCTATCCATTTCCCAATATATTTTTGGTTAAATACACTTGTATATCCAAAAACACCGTTAAAGAATGTGAAAGAATTGGATATAAGTGGTATTTCTGGAAATTTGGATATTATTGGCACAACCGTGAAAGTTTTGGATATACAAGTGTATTTAAACTTAATAATTTAACAAAAAGTTTATTGTATAAATTAATTTTAAAGGATTTTTTCGTAATGTTATCACATGAGTAGTGCATTCTCCAAAAATGCATCTCATAGCCTTCAAAGTCTCGAGGCTAAACTCTTGAGCAAGTTTGTAAATATTTTCTTCATCAAAACACCAGAAAGAACGGTTAGAATTCAGTGCCCCACTCAATTGAGGCAATCTAAATGATGACTCAGCAAGTTTGTAAATATTTTCTTAATAAAAAGAATGGAAAGAAAACCAGCTCGACGGGCTGGCGGAGAAATCCATTTGGGTATGCTCGTCTCCTCGTTCTTCTTTTGTTTTGGGGGGATTGGGAAATTTTTTGAATTTTGCAAGGAAGGGTGTGCCTTAGTTTAGAGCTTTTATTTTTATTTTAATGAAACTTTACACTTTTAGGTTTTCATGACTTTTTTCAAATAAAATCATTGGGGTAATAGAAAATTTAGTATAAATTTAAAGTAATGGTTTGGATATGTTCATCTAAACCATTTTTCTAGTTACAAAAAATCTTATTATCAAATAAAACTATACAAGATTTAAATAGTACTGGGACCTAAAGCGAAAAATTTTATAAGCACTACACTAACTCTGGATCCGAAGGAGGGCTGGGCCGGGGCCTAGGTTGGCCCAGCACTGGATCCGCCACTGTTGGTCGTTACGAATTTCTGGTTTCAATTTCTTCATTACCTTTCAACATATTTCAGGTTCACAACAAAGCAGCAAAAAACAAGACTTGGCTTGTTTGTATGACCAGAAATTGCTGCATTTATACGAGTACAGTATCGAGTTAACAATTCGTTTAACTAGTTTAATATGCAGAGGAACATTGAACATTGAACTTGCCAGCATTGGATCTTGATCACAACTGCCCAAATGTCAACGCAGAGGAACATTGAAACGACTGTAGCTTACACTCTTTCTTCTTACATAGATAGCAAATTTAGACAAGCAAACGCAAAAGAGAGATTTAATTTCGTGCATCTCGCTGCCGCCGCAACGCACGAGATCTATTTATTTCAGTCTACATATCCACTCCACAGAGCTTGTTACTTGGTCACACTTCCTGCACCAAGGCTTTCATGGAGGCCTTGAGAGCAGCCAACTGCTTATCCTTGTCCGCAATCGACTGCCTGAGCAACGACTCTGTCTCCTTGCTCTTCTCCAACAGCTTGTCCTTCTCCTCCGCCAGCTTCTTCCAGCAATCGGACGAAGGAGCCGCCGCAGCAGGCACCAAAACGGCGCCGTTGCTCATGTCCCACCTGTTCCAGATCGGACCAACCCCGGGGCTGACCCCGTACTTGGACCAACCGAAATAGTCATTGACCCGCAACCGCATCACAGGCGAGCTGTCCACGTACAGGAAACAGAGGCCTTGACGGTTGACGATGAGATGGAAGGTTTGGCCATCTCGAGCCGTGAGGGTCAAATCCGTGGCCAGATTCTTCAATTGGTTGCCTCCGATCCTCACCCCCAGTACCTCCAGCACCTTGAAGGAGGCCGCCCCGGTCGGGCCGACCCGGGTGAGTTGTCTCCAGCGGTTGTTACTGGCTCGGATCATCTCGAAAACGTTGGGATCGTCAAGATACTCGTACACATATACATCCGGATCGCCTTTGGAAGTTCGGATGAATTGCTTGTCGGACTCCAATTTGAACACTGCCATTTCTATTTCAGGGAGAAAGGGGGAGCAAAGATTAGACTGCTAGATGATTTGGATCTTGGTTTGAAGGAAATCGGAATGGGAGCTTACCTTTTATATATAGGCAGAGCAAATGCAATAAAAAAAAGTATGCTCAGTTGCTCACTCACGCCTGGTAGGTACAATTTAATTTGACCTGACCTGTGTGGTGGTCGGCATTTTGCTGGGTCGTCTATCTTTAATTCGGGAAGTATGTTAAGAGGCTAAGAACCCGTCGTCAATTATTGGTTTTGGTACAACAGTACTTGGTAGGTAGCGCATTCACACGATAGTAGATCAACGAGTGAATGACATGGGTTCCCATGTATTTATGTTAAGGTGTTTGTTGTAACCTGTCTATATTAGGAGTAGAGATAATGAATGATGTATTAACTCCAGTAATAATGATAATCATGGATGGAGAATTTTATTATTATTGCTTATATAAAATGATAGTTTATGTTTGTTTTCATGTAATGTAATGTTATTTGGTTAATCCAATTCTTCGATTATCCAAACCAATTAAACTTTGGTTTGGTTAATTTAATTTTCGCGTTAATATAAACGATTTGGTTAAGACATTTTATTCCATGATTAATGAAATTTGAACGGTTTGGTGAACACCCCTATGAATGACATGGCTTCCGATATTTTTTCTTCTTACCACCTTCTCCAATGTAAAAGATTAGAATATATCCATTTTCTTTACTCTAGCCCACAAAAAGTCGTTTTAGTCTGATGAGAAAGACTAGAATGTGAAATCTCCCAAGTTGCATTGCACATTTTCGATTTCATCACTTTAATTATATAACTAGGGAGGTGGTTGCCGCGCTTTGCGGTGGCTCTTGACTTGTCTTATGGTTCGTTATCTCTAAGCCCGTCTATGTGTATATGATGAAGCCAATTAGTTTAGTTTGAAGATTACGAAATTCAAGGGCTTATTTTTGTTATCTTTTAATATGGCTCTTGGATTTTCTCCAGACTACTATTTAGAATGATATGAAATTGGAGCCTAGTTTCATCCCAAAAGAAAAAAGAATTAAGACAACATATGACAGTTACAAAGGGGAACAAAATCTTTTATTAGTCATACAAATAACACATCCGACAGAGAGGCAACAATCATCAAAGCATAATATGCAAAAAAATCTACAACAGTTGTGAAGTTTGCATAAATGTATAAAATGTCTTTGTCTTTTTTTTTATCGGTATCAAATGTCTATGTAATACCATTAAACTTGAGTGTCATCTATTCAGATTTCATCAAAGTAAAACATGCCAAAATTCGGAGTGCAGCAAACATGCAGAGTTTACTTTGCATCAAACCTCCCAAACCGGAGAAACAGAGCTTTCCCTTTCCTTCCTTCCTTCCTCCCTCCCTCTCTCTCTCTGAATCAAGTTTGGGGAAGAACTGACGAAAGCAGACATATTTTATAGTGGCGAGATAAATTACAGATATTTATTTGTTTTTTCACTGTGATTGAACTTCGTTTGGAGAGGCCAGATCTAGGAGGTCCGTTGCTGCCGGCCGCGACAGGGGAACAATAAGTTCTCCATCGCAGTCGATGGGTTCGGATGATGATGGTTGATCATGGTGGGGCTCTGTTCACCACTACTGGTGGTTTCTTGGTTGAGATGTCGAAGAAGAAGATCCCCTCTTCGTGGTCTCCTGGCTTCTTCTTTTGTTGCCTTGGGATCCCGCCGCCTCCTGCTCTTGATTATCAATCGCATTCTTCTTTGAGTACCAGACTCGCCTAGTTGCGGGCAAAATCAGGGACACTGGATTGGATCTCGCTGACGCGTTGAGCTACTTTCTATGTTTCGGTATTCAGATTACCGCCTATGGCTTATGGGCCTGTTTGACTCCATTTTCATGGAGATATAGAGTGCCATAGAGAGACTCTATTTTGTTTGTTCGTTTTGTAGGACTCACCAACGACAGGAATGCTGCTACAGCGGTGCCATGGTTGGCAGTTTGGCCAGTATGCAGCAACGGCGATTCCCGGTCATTCCCTCTTCCCATTTCCAATTCCGGCATCCAATATTCGGTGGCAGTTACAAATTCGAAGCCTACAATCTTTGGTGCAAAATGATTTGGTCGGTTACAATACCAGGGCAGTTACAAATTTGCCGAATAGGCGGTTCCAATCCCAACCGTTGATCCTAACCACGTTTAGCTAAGTCTTCTACCTCTTACTTACTAATTATATATTTCATTATTATAATGTTTACATTTGTGTTTGGTATTTTTGCTGTGGTGTTGCATTGGTTTTGTATTCACTTATTTATGCCTCTTGCTTATATTAAGGAATTGCTTTTTGTTAGGCATGGAGTGTAATTTCTCTACTAGTCGGTTTTGGTATTTTTTTGGGCTTTAGAAGGCGGAGCTCGCATAGCTTGTGGAGCAGTTGGTGGCATGTGGAGCAATTGGTGGCAACCTAGTGGTACTTGAGTGTTATTTTGCCCATTTGAGGGTCGATTGTGTTTTTCCAGGTAGCTTGCATATCAGATCTACTCCTAGCCTATTGGAACCCGACTTATCAACGATGTGAAGTTTGTACTTGGCGGAGTGGTATTTCAAGAAGTTTGTCAAAAGAAGACTTCATTTGCGTTTATTCGTTTATTTATGTTTCTAGGCATACTAACAGGGCTGCCCATTGCATGGCGAAAACGGCTCTTGCATCAGTGATCAACACTTGGCTGATTACTGCTATTTACTTTTCAACTCTTTGTATTTCCCTATCTATTAACTATCTACCTAAGTTAAAAAAATGCCAAAATTCATCAAATAAAACCAATACCAAATTCTACAGCTCAAGCACTCCTTTCGACTCAATGATTCCATGGCTACTTGATGATTTGTATCTTTCACCCAGCTCAATCTCTAAAACTCTGTATATGATGTCCTGAAATTGGCTATGATAAGAACATGCAACCACTCCATGAAATTGGCTACAATAACTTTGCCTTCCATTGTAACCAAAAATCACTGATTCCAACTTATTCAAAATTTGACCAATGAATTCTTCCAAATTAAGTTGAGATATTCGAGTGGGGAATCCTAAATGACTAATTATGGGAAGTAAAGAAGTAGATCAACTTACCCATCCATGAACCACGCTACCGGAAGGTGAAAGCTTTGATCATTACAAAGGTTGAGATTGGTAAGCATTTTAAGTTGTTAACAACATTCGGAAGGACTTCATGCTCGTGTACACTTTCAACCTAAGTCCCGAATCATACCAGAAACTAAATGCCACTGTCACATCTTCAAAGTCCACCTGCTCCCTTTCCCTTCTGCCGATGTCGGAACCCGTACAGTCAACTCAACCTTTGCTTTGTATCTCTGTCACTCCGATTCTTCCGATTCCAAGAAATGATCGATCTTCCTTCCGTATGAGGGTGTGGAGAAACAATTAGGTTGGGCGTTTTGATCAATAAAACAAAAGAATCCGGTTAGGTGTTCGATCAGAGGAGATAAGGAAGAAAAAAATCAACCCAATCAATCAGCTAAGAAAGAAAAGAAACAGAGGGAAAAAGCAGTGGCTGAATTGGGGAAGAAGACGCAGAGCACCTTGGTTGCTGAAATGACAATAAAAAATCCATCGTAAAATCTCCGGCAACCAGCAACAATCTGAGCTGCTGGTTCAAATTTTATGACTGCTGCAAACCGTGGACCATAGATTTCCCTCTAGACTCTTCGATCTAAAGATGGGGCTCATCTCCATCACAATTTTGGCCAATGTCTCCTAATCCCGGAAGACCCCCAGGTTCCCAATCTCCATAACTCTTCCATAAAGCATTTGAATTTCCACCGTCATCCTCTCTGTCAAATCTGTTTCGGGATGGAAGAAAAAGAGGAGAAGAAGAGAATAATTTTTTTTAGATAAAAGTGATATAAGTTTACTTTTTCTGATTAGGTACTACTTACGAATTCGAACTTGGGACCGGCAGGTTCAAAGATAGTGATAGTATTACCGCTAGACAAAATTCTTATTCGTAAATCAAAGAAAAGGGATTGGGAATTTAGTTCAAAATTAACTCACCTGCTGAAACGTGGGCAAACGTGAATTAGCCAAAATAAAAGCAAAAGAAACTCTTAGCCACGCGTCAATGGGAACCTGGCTGTCAGCAAATGAAAATAACCTTCAACACATATTAGCACATCTCTTATGCAACAGTAACCTATTTGTAGCTTTAATTATATTTAAGATTTATGTTTTTTATATAGTCAATAATAATTAATTAATACTAACATTTTGATATAATTTTTTAGTTTGGACATATATAGTTTAGCGTTAAATATAATATGACATATAGACTCATCTAACTTTAATCATATAAATGAGATATTTCATCAATTGTTTATTCAAATTTAATAAGAGTGAGTTGCGCCATCAACTATTGATTGAACTATAATCATAATGACATGTGTCATCAAATGTTCATTTAGCTTTAATCAGAATGAGTTGTGTCATCAATTGTTCATCAGAATGATATCCATCGGTGGAATGAGTGCCACAGGTGTATAAAATTGATGCATTAATTTAGGCAACTTGGAAGTATATTCCAACAATGCATCAACTTAAAATGTTTGTTGGTGTCGGCTATAATTTTTTTTTCCGCTACTGCAACCTAGAAATTAATTGGATTGTATAATTAAAACAACATAAATAATAACCAGAATAAGGGAAAAAATCCAAAACTACCACTGTTTAAAAAAAATTACAAAAATACCACCCATTCCCAACAATTTCCGAAAATACCACCGTTTATTAAAAACCGCGCCTCTAAGGGGCGGTTAATATATAACCCGCCCCACCAGGCAGCGGTTTACATCAGAAATACCTGGTCAACATGCGGTTTTCCTACGATAGCATAACAACAACATAAATCAATTAGTATACAAATTAAATAAATCATTATAACAACAACAATTGGGTAAATTGAGTACATACCGCTTGATAATTATCATAGTAAATACCCTCTTCTTGGATAAAATCGGCCATTTTTTCATAATCCGGAAGAGATTCGACGATTTTTTAGTGAAAACCAAAGAAAAGTCTTTTGAAGGCAGATCGGACTTAACCGCAACCAACAAAACAACTAC